GGGAGGATTTTATTTAGGGATGATTTTAAGAATAATTTTAATAGAAATACAGCTTCAAATATTTGGTTTTAATTTGGTTTTATAGGGGTTTATATTTTTTGTTTTTGTACTTGTACTTGTTTTAATATGCTGTGCACCGCCCTGAGTCCTGCGGGAGAAGGGCGGTATATAAATTAAATTATTATTATTATTATTATTAAGCGCCAAGGCATGGTTTGATTATGTTTTAGTGGGGTTTTGTATGGGGTGTTTTTAGAACAGGCCTGTTATTTAATTTGATTTTAGCATAGAAACTATTTATTTATTATTGTGGTTTTTAGTATCGCCTGTTCACCGCCCTGAGTCCCGTAAGGGAGATAGGGCGGTATATAAATTTAATAAATAAATAAAATAAATAAATGGTCCACTGGAGGAGCCCCACTGCCTGCTGAAACCCCTCCGCCGGAGCCCACCAAGCCGGATAGGTGAAGGAGGCCAGGGCCATTTGCTGGCCACTTCCAGGGGATGGTGCATTTCTTCATTCCCCACAAAGGGTGACCCCTCCCCAGCGTGCACCCAGGGGCCGGGGCCAACATGCACCCAGGGGCTGGTTCCCCGCTGTTTCCAGAGGGCCTTGTGGAGCTAAAACTGAATGTGTTTCAGCATAGATGGCCACCACAAAATTGTACATGGGCTCCCGGCCGGCCAGGGCCAAGGCAGAGGGGGCCGTTCCCTCACTGTTTCCAGGATGGCTTCGCGGGCCACATGAAACCACTTCGCGGGCCGCATCCGGCCCCTCCAGGCCTTGTGTTTGACATGTCTGCTTTGAGGAGTCTAAAGCCTCTTCTCCTCTCCTTCCTTTCTCCCAGGAAGTTGCTCCTTGCTCCCTCACGCAACAGACTCCGTCACCTGCTCTTCCCAGGAACCTCGGGCAAAATCCTTGGATCTAAAAGGCTGGCGTCGACGTGCTGGGTCCCCTCGCAGGAACTGAGTCTGGGAAGCCACATGGCCTGCAGGCCGTCCACAGAAGTCCGCCTCCTATGGGGGGAAATTAAAATAGGTTTAATATTTAAAATATATCCCAGTGTCTCTCGCTGCCAGTTTGGGCTTGTCTTCCTCAGCAGCTCTGCAGGTGCCCTCTCCTGCAGAGGTCCTACAGCCCAGGCTCTGGGGAGCCTCTCCGAGCAAAATGGCCGTTGCGTCCCTCAGATCAGACCCCGAGCTGCCGGATCCCACCTTCCTTTCATGGTGCTGCTGGGGGGTGGGGTGGGGGGGTTGGTGCTTCCCCTGTCCAGTGCCTCCAGGTGCGTTGAACAAGAGCTCTCCAGAAATTGTGGGTGCTCCATCACTGGAGGTTTTTAAGGCTGGACATCCATCGGTCCGGAATGGTCTAGGCCCGGTTTCCTGCTTGAGCAGGGGATTGGACTAGAGGACCTCCAAGGTCCCTTCCAACTCTGTTATTCTGTTCTTCTCAACTTCTGGAAGTTCGGGAAGGCTGATGGACCCCCCGATAGAACAAACGTTGGTTTTGGCTGCTCCTTGGTTTTTCCTGTCGCGTTGCCATCTGGAGTGAACACCGCCTGGTTACCGGGATCGTCACTTAACTGAGATTGGGTGGGAGGTGAGAATTTGATCTATTTTGAGGCAGGAAAGGCACCCCTAATTTTTTTTTCGAGTCTTGTCCAGCTTGGGGGTCCTGCGTGTGCAGCACTGGGGTCAACCTCCTGTCGTGGTGCGAACATTAAAAATCATTTCCCAGCTCTTGTGTTGGGGGGTTCTCCTGGAAACTCCCCCGCTCATTAAAGTGCCTCCCACCCGCATCCCTTCTTCAGACCCCTCCTCTTCATCTTTACTCCCAGCTTTCAGGGGCGTCTTCCCCTCCTTACAATGGCCTTGAGAAGCACCCCAACCAGAAGCACCGCTGTTTTCTGGGATTTCTTTGAACGTTCATGTCAACATCCAGCTCGAGAATCCAAATAAAACTCCAAGTCCATTCCGTTTCCGAAAATCTCAACTGTTTATTGAATACACGGCATGGTGGTGTCGAAGGAAAACTAACTCTGAGTTTCCCAGGCACCAGTTCATAGAATTAAACCATCATTTCTTGGGCCAAAACCCCAACCTCTCACCTAGTCCATGTAAACAATTTCACTTTGTTATGGGAACCGTCTGCTTCCTCTCCACACCTGCTGCGGTGTCCTTGGAGAGGTTTCAGGCTCTCACAGTCTTCAGCGGAATCGGAGAGGTTTCTTTTTTCTCATTCTAATGGCAAGTTGAAACGAGACATGTCGTTACCAAAGTTTCATTCTTGACAGTTCAATAGTCTGCAGCCGTTGGATAGCCTGCTATTCCGCACTGAAGGGCTAATCGTGGTCCTGGCTGGCTCGGGAATTCTGGGAGTTGAAGTCCACAGGTCATAAAGTTGACATGGTTGCTCACCCCTGTGTCTTGAAGCACTTCAAACACGACATCTTAAAAAAAAAAAAGTGAGATCATACCGGCCCAACTCAAACTTCCAGATTAGCTTCTTAAGTTGACATTTTAAGAGCATAATCTGATTAATGCCGTAAGACGCTCAGAAGCAGCTGCTTCCAGTTCCATCCAGTCCCATAACTGGGATCTAGCGGCTTTGTGGGGCTCAGCTGGTTTGGTGGCACACGAGTGAGCAGTTCAGAGCTGCTAAGAGTAGCAACTCGGCAATTGACAGAATCCCAGTTCCCCTAAAGGCATCGGCCGTGGATGGTGGCCGTTGGAGGACCCCTCAACCACCACCATGAGGCCCACCATGCAAAGACGGGCAAGCCTCTCAGCCAACATGAAGTTTAGGGCCTGTCAGAAGTGCTGCAGGACTGCCGGCAACGTGGACCTCCTCCTCCCCTTCTCTCAGGAGAAGCTGGTCAAGCCGTGGAGCTCCATGGACAATTTGGCCGACTGGGCCCAGGACAGCGACGACCTTTCCCACCCGTCGAATCCGAATTTCTTGACCCTCAATGTTGGAGGCCAACACTTCCATGTCTCCATCCGAGTGGCGGCCAAATACCCCCTCACCAGGATTGGGCAACTGGCCACCTGCGCGGATCCCGTGAAGAAGCTGGAGCTGTGCGACGACTACTCGGTGCTGAAGAACGAGTACTTCTTCGACCGAGACCCTCTCGTCTTCCACTACGTCTTCCACTTCTACCGCAGCGGAGTCATGTGGGTCCTGACCGAGTTCTGCTCGGCCAACTTCCTGGAGGAGATCGAGTACTGGGGCGTCCACATGAAGTACACCCAGCGCTGCTGCCGGATCCTCTTTGAGGAGAAGCACGACGAGATGGTGGAGTATCTGAAGATCCAGCGAGAGCTGGAGGCCGAACTGGAGACCGTTGAGAAGGAAGAACATTTTGAGGGCAAGTTCATGGGCCAGTTCCGGAAGGCCATCTGGAACCTGATCGAGAACCCGTACTCCTCGGTCCTGGCTAAGATCACGGCCCTCTTGTCCAGCCTGTTCGTGCTGTTCTCGGTGGTGGGGATGACCCTCAGCACCGTGAAGGAGATGCAGGACAAGACCAGCAAGCAGTGCATGGAGCACCTGGAGACCGTCTGCGCCGTCTTCTTCACCCTGGAGTACCTCATGCGGCTGGTCTCCACCTCCACCCTCCGGCAGTTCTTCCGGGCGGCCTTCAGCGCCATCGATCTGGTGTCCATCCTGCCCTTCTACGTCCAGATCGTCTTCGAGTGCCTGGTCGAGGACGACTCCGAAGACCACGAGGAGCTGCACAAGATGCGCAACGTGGGGAAGCTGGGCAAGGTCCTCAAGCTGATCAAGCTGATGCGGATCTTCCGTATCCTGAAGCTGGCCCGGCATTCCACGGGGCTGAGGGCCTTCGGCTTCACCCTCCGGCAGTGCTGCCAGCCGGTCTGCTGCCTCCTGCTCTTCATCGCCATGGGCATCTTCACCTTCTCCGCCCTCATGCACTCCGTCGAGCATGACGTGCCGAACACCAACTTCACCAGCATCCCCAACACCTGGTGGTGGGCAGCAGTAAGTGAACCCATCATCCACACACAGACCCCACTCCCCCCGCGTATCAGCTAATAATAATTATCAGAATAGAGCTGGAAGGGACCTTGGAGTTCCTCTAGTCCAGCCCCCCTGCTCAAACAGGAGACCTTATACCATTTCAGACGTGGCTGTCCAGTCTCTTCTTGAGAACCTCCAGTGATGGAGCGCCCACAATTTCTGAAGGCAGCTTCTGTTCCACCGGTTAATTGTCCTTCCTGTTAGGAAGTTTCTCCTTAATTCCAGGTTGTTTCTCTCCTTGATCAGTTTCCATCCGTTGTTTCTTGTCCTGCCCTCTGGTGCTTTGGAGAATAGCTTGACTCCATCCTCTTTGTGGCAGCCCATCCAGTTTTGGTCACCGCGATGTAAAAAAGATGCTGAGACTCTAGAAAGAGTGCAGAGAAGAGCAACAAAGATGATCAGGGGACCGGAGGCTAAAACATACAAGGAACGGTTGCTGGAATTGGGTATGTCTAGTTTAATGAAGAGAAGGACGAGGGGGGACATGATAGCAGTCTTCCAATATCTCAGGGGCTGCCCCAAAGAAGAGGCAGTCAAGCTATTCTCCAAAGCCCCTGAAGGCAGGACAAGAAGCAACGGGTGGAAACCAATCAAGGAGAGAAGCAACCTGGAACTAAGGAGAAACTTCCTGACAGTGAGAACAATTAACCAGTGGAACCACCTGCCTCCAGAAGCGGTGAATGCGCCAACACTGGAAGTTTTTAAGAACAGACTGGACAGCCATTTGTCCGAAATGGTATAGGGTTTCCTGCCTGAGCAGGGGGTTGGACTAGATGACCTCCAAGGTCCCTTCCAACTTTACTATTATTATTATTAAATACTGGAACACTGCTATCATGTACCCTCTATTCTTTTCTTTAGACTAGCCAAACCCAAGTCCCGCAGCCGTTCTTCCTACATTTTTGTCTCCAGGCCTTTAATCAGTTGCTCTTCTTTGCGCTTTTTCCAAAGTCTCAATGTCTTTTTTGCAATGGGGTGACCAAAACTGGATGCAACTATGCCAGGTGCGGCCTTACTAAGGCTTTATAAAGCGGTACTAAGACTTCACATCATTTTGATTCTATGCCTCTGTTTATACAACCCAGGATTGTGTTAGCTTTTTTGGCTGTTGCCGCACACGGCTGGCTCACATTTAAGGGATCGTCCACTGGGACTCCAAGGTCCCTCTCACGGTTACTCTTTTTGAGCCGGGTCTCTCCTAATCTGTACTTGTAATTTGTAGCTGAGGGTCTCCTCTTGAGCTAGTAGCCCTGTCAGACCCAAGAATGACATTTAATAAGACTTGGGAACCCAGTCCCCAAGAATGGCCCAAGCAGAGATGGTGGAAGACCTGGCTTGGAGGAGGGACAGCAGAAAATGGCTCTGGGGGTGCTGCTTCCCAGCTGTGGGGGACCGAAGGGGACCCCGTGCAGGCAAAAACAGCTTCTCCTTCCACTCTTCTAACTCCCAAGTGGGGAAGGGGTGCAGAATTACCCTAAAAGAAAGGGGTGGGGTGAGATTTGGAGATGGTGACTGGAGAGAGTTGGCCCTGAAGGCAACAGGGCTGCTGGTGGGTCTACACCAAGGGTCTTCCAACTTGGCCCTTTTACGACTTGTGGACTTCAACTCCCAGGATTCCTCAGCCAGGCACGCTGGCTGAGGAATTCTGGGAGTTGAAGTCCACCAGTCATAAAAGAGCCGAGGTTCCCCACCCACCCCTGGCCTAGACATACCTAGTTCCCTCAATCGTTCATCATCTGGTTTAGCCTCCGGACCCCTGATCGTCTTTGCGGTTGGGGTCTTTTTTTGGCGTCAAGAGTTGGCTCCATCTTGCAAGTGACTTTGCTTCAACTCAGGAGGACATCTTGTTCTTCCTCCCCCTCCTCCACTTTTCCTCCTCCTCCTCTTCCTCTTCTTCCTCTTCCTTCTCTTATTTTCTTCCTCTTCCTGTTCTTCCTGTTCCTCTTCTTCCTCCCCCTCCTTTTCCTCCCCCTCCTCTCTCCTCTTCCTCTTCCTCTTCCTGTTCCTCTTCTTTTTCCTCCTCCTCTTCCTCCTTCTTCCTCTTCCTCCTCTTCCTCCCCCTCCTCTTCTCCTCTTCCTCTTATTTTCCTCCTCTTCCTCTTCTTCCTGTTCCTCTTCTTCCTCCTCTTCCCCATCTCCCTCCTTCTCCTCCTTCCTCCCCCTTCCCTCCCCCTCCTCTTATTTTCCTCCTGTTCTTTCTCTTCCTCCTCCTCCTTCCTCCCCCTCCTCTCTCCTCCTCCCCCCCTCCTCCAGGTGAGCCTCTCCACCGTGGGCTACGGGGACACGGTGCCGGACACCTTCCTGGGCCGGGTGGTGGCCTTCGGCTGCATTGCCTTCGGCATCATCCTCAACGGGATGCCCATCTCCATCCTCTACAACCGGTTCTCCGACTACTACGCCAAGCTCAAGTCCCACGAGGACAAGACCGCCGTGGCCCTCAAGACCCCCCGCCAGGACGGCCTCCGGGAGAGGCTCCGGAAGAAGCTGGGCCAGTGCTGGGGCCCCGAGAGCAGCCGGGCAGGCCAGACCCCCGGCCGGTAGCCACTCGCCCCCCACCCCCTTGCTCCTTCCCTCCACCCCCACCACCCCCATCTCAGCCCCACCTCCGTCCCCTCGGAAGCCCCGGATAACTCCCGCGTCCGTCCCTGCCAGGCTGGCCTGCCAGGCTTTGCTCCCTCGCACCCGGGACAGCTAGCTGGCAGGCCTCCTTGTCCCCCCTCCCCTGGCTTGCCCTCTTTTTCCTGCACATGCCAAGGGGGCAGAGAGGTGGGCAGAGGTGCCTGATCCCCCCCACACACACCTTATTTCCCTCTGCCCAGAGCTGAGCTGCCTGCCGTAAACTTACCTGTGAGCCCAACATTGGTTTAATCCCGGACAGTTTAGCTTATACCTGGCCTTCTGAAGCCAAACGTGGGAATCGGGTGCCCGAATTCGCCGGCAAAGCCCCCCCGATGCCCGAATGAGGCTCGGAAGCCGCCTGTCCTTGTTCTTAACCTGCCTCTCCTAAACCCTCCCCGGGCGAAATGCCTCCGGCTGGCTTTATTTTTAGATTTCCTTTGTACCCTGCCTTGATGGTTTTTATAAACGCGGCAATGAACGTATCTGATCTTCCTTCCTTCCTCCTTTCTCCACTACAACCCTGCGAGGTGGGTTGGGCCGAAGGAGAAGGCCTGGCCCAAAGTCACCCGGTCGGCTTTCGTGTCGAAGGCGGGACTAGAACCCCCCATCTCCTGGTCCTAGTCTGACACAAACTGGGCTTGTGGCAGGCGTGGACAATCTTGGGAGAGAATTTCGATGCCCTGGGGTGCCCGTGGCGTCGGAGTCCTGATGCCCAGGGGAAGATGGGTGTACACGTGTTTTTCAACTTTGGGAACGGGAAGATGGGTGGACTTCAATTCCCAGAATTCCCCAGCCAGCTTTGCTGGCTGGGGAATTCTGGGAGTTGAAGTCCACCCATCTTCCCGTTGAAAAATGTTGATTAATACAATGGAGACCCTGCCTGAATTTAACCAATTAGCTTTGCAGGCTGGGGAATTCTGGGAATTGAAGTCCACCCGTCTTCCCGTTGAAAAATGTTGATTAATACAATGGAGACCCTGCCTGAATTTAACCAATTAGCTTTGCTGGCTGGGGAATTCTGGGAGTTGAAGTCCACCCATCTTCCCGTTGAAAAATGTTGATTAATACAATGGAGACCCTGCCTGAATTTAACCAATTAGCTTTGCTGGCTGGGGAATTCTGGGAATTGAAGTCCACCCATCTTCCCGTTGAAAAATGTCGATTAATACAATGGAGACCCTGCCTGAATTTAACCAATTAGCTTTGCAGGCTGGGGAATTCTGGGAGTTGAAGTCCACCCATCTTCCCGGTTCCCAAAGTTGAAAAAACACCCGCCAATTTTGCAAAATCCCTTCTTTTGAGAGGGGCAGGCACACGAACAGAAGAAACACACCGACCAACTCCGTTGTGGCAATGACGCAAAGAAGTCCCGCAGGTCCGCCGAATCGGTTTTGCGCGTGACCATCCCCGGGAAGGCCCATCTTTACCCCAACGGGAAAAATCTAGGAAAAACCGGGGCTCCCCTGGCCCAGAAGTCAGATGGGGCCTCGGGGACAGTCCTGCCCTCTGCCCTGGAAACCCACCTTTCCCAGTGGAAGGGGGGTCCTCCTGGGAGCAAAAACCCCTCCCTCCCCACAGCCCCTGCCCCCCAAATGTTGGCAACGGCAGAGCACAGGTCGGAATTGGGAGGGGGGGGATGAAGAACCCATTTGTTGAATGCCCCATTCCTTCCAGCCCCCCACCCACACCCCCACCCCTCTTTCCACCCGCTCTTCCCATTTTGAGTTTGCTGGGAAAACGCCTCTGATGCCAGGTGAGCGGAAGATAAATTATCCACCCCCAGCTCTTCTTCTTTCCATGCCCAGATGCAATCTTCAATGTAAGGCTGCAAGGACAGGGTACACACACACACACACAAACACACACACACACACAGGCTCCTTCAGGACTACCCCTGCTTCCTCACCAGTTTAAGAGCTGGTGGGAGCAAGGTTGCAGGCAAGACTGCAGTCACAAAACTTTGTGCACCAGGCTCAAAATATTTTTTTTTTTGCCCCTGGCTGCCGCTGCTCCTTCGTGCCCCCCCCCCAAGCTGGCACCCCACTTGTCAGTAAAAAAAGCAACAGGACCAGAAGCTTGGAAGCCGTTTGCGTTTAATGTGGAGACAGCCCTCCCTTGGCAAAATCATCCTCATAAGCATAAAAACAAATATTTACAAGTCTCCGTGCCCAGGAAGTTTGTCCTATATACATACACACACACACATTTCTTTTTATATATATATACATAATATTTATATAAATTAAACAGTTCGGCTATCTACAGTATGGTACATTCTGCAGTGGGCCCCAGTTGGCTGGAGCTGGGCGCAATTCGAACCCGCTGCAGATTTTCTTCCCAGGGACATGGGTGTCCAGAGCAGCATCCCCCCCCCCCCAGTTTGAGGAGACACGGGGAAGTTGGGAGACTTCCCTGTTTGGTCCCAGCCATTTGCTCTTTGGAGGTAGACTGCTGCGGAACAAGGAGGCTCGACTTGTTTACTATGACCCCTTAGCCACAAGGAACCCTAAATATATTTTCTACTTTTTCAGTCGGCGCTGGTGCTAGCTACCCTTGCTCTTCCATAATGTGTCACACACACCCCCTTTCAATCGTTTTTAAAGCTGGCAGGGCACCTTCTTGTGGCAGTCAGTTCCACGGGTTCAATAAGCTTTGTCTGCTCTCCTCTGTCGCTAGTCTTTTCTTCTTCCAGCAATGGGGTGGGGGGGTGGGCAGAGAGAGTCCAGGCTGCCTTCTTTGCATCAGGTCAGCTGATCAAAGCAAGACCGTCCCCCCCCTCCTCGATCCAAGAGGTCCAGTTTGTAGGAATCCAGGGGAAGGAATTGAACTCGCGTCACGGTGGCTGAAACAGTTCCAAAACCCATCACTTGTGCCCTCCACAATGCAGGAATAGAATAAGAATAGAACAAAATAGAGAAGAGAAGAGAAGAGATGGAAGGGACCTTGTAGGTCATCTAGTCCAACCCACCCACCCACCGCCCTAGGAGGAGACCCTACTACACCATTTCTGACAGATGGCAGTCCAGTCTCTTCTTGAAAGCCCCCAGTGAGGAAGCTCCCACAACTTCTGAAGGCAATTTGTGGTATTGTGCAGGACTGTGTGTCCAAGCTTGGCAACTTTAAGACCCGGTGGACTTCAACTCCCAGAATTCTGCTGGCTGGGCGATTCTGGGAGCTGAAGTCCACCGGGTCTTAAAGTTGCAAAGTTGGACACTTCTGCTTTAGGGAGGAAAGCCCCTGGCTGTTGGTGTCCCCCCTCCCTGCCCCCCGCTTAAAATGTTCCCCAGGAACCCTCTCCAGGACCAGCAGAGCTGGCTGGGGAATTCTGGGAGTTGAAGTCCAGCAGTTTTAAAGTTGCAAAGTTGGGACACTTCTGGTTTAGGGGGAAAAAAAACTCCTGGCTGTTGGTATCCTCCCCCCCTTAAGAAGCCCCCCACCCCCAGGAAAGCTCTCCAGGAACCAAGGCCAGGGTTTGGATGTGGAAGGGGGGAGGATCACCGTGCCAGCCCCACACACACACACACGCACACAGACACACGGTGCCGGGGGGGGGCCCTCAGTGGCAGCCGCAGCTGCCGGCCACCATGCCGTCGTACTGCTTGAGGACCACCGTCTCGTCGTCGTCAAAGTAGAGCAGGTTGATGGAGTAGAGCTTGTCCGGGACGCAGCAGGGCGTCTGCACCTCCGGGCTGAGCTTCAGGGCGTGGATGATGGACTGGACAGTGGCGTGGTTGGTGGGCCGCATGCTCTGGCCCAGCGGGAAGCGGCAGGTGCCCTTGCAGTGGAAGGCGTTGTAGCCCCGCGGGGAGATGACCCAGCCGGTCCAGCCGATCTCGTCGAAGTCCACCGGCAGCGGGTAGCGCTGGCAGGGCAGGGAGCTCTCGGCCGAGCGGGCACCCCGGGTCCGGTTGGAGGGGGGCTCGGGGGGAGGCGGCAAAGCTGCACGGGGGAGGCAAAGAAATGGCTCACATCCCCGCTTGGCATCTCGGCTGAAGCTTCAGGAGCAAAGCTGAGGGGGGGGAGTTACCTTCTAAGGGGTGTAAGGCTGTGCCCCCTCCCCACAATGCCCGGCGGGGGTCACTCACCGGGGAAGCCGCTGGGCAAGGCGGCCGCCCGCCGCCCGTCGTCGGTGAACAAGACCAGCATGGGCTTCTTGCTGGCGTGGTGGTCCCGGCCCGAGGCGAACTGCACGGCGTGGGGGTCCAGGGGGGCCCCGGCCAGGCCCTGCACCGTCACCAGCAGGCCCTGGTTGCTGCCCTCTTCGGCCACCCAGTCGCGGACCTGGAAGGGGGGGAAGCGTCAGCGGGCGTCAGCGGGCGTCCTGCGGAGCTCGAGTGAGCGAGCCAAGCCCCAGCCAAAAGCCCCCCCTCCCCCCCTCCTTCTCAGCCCCCCACCCGTGCACGTCCGGCAGCACTGACCGCCTGGGTGATGGAGAAGACCTCCCAGCCGAAGCCCTGCAGGGCCAGCAGCCGGGCGGACAGCAGCTTCTTCCCCCGGGGGGCCTCCGGGTGGTCCTTGCCCAGCACCTGGTAGACGCTCACCTGGGGGGGGGATGAGAAAGGGGGGGGGGATTAGCTGAAGCCCCAGGGGAGGGGGATCCTCTCCACAGGAGCCCTTTTGGCATCCTTTTGCCCTCTAGATTCAGGGCACTCTGCACGCGCCTGCCTGACCTGGCCACCTCCCCCCCCCCC